GCACAGGTTGCTGTCGAGAACATAAAGCGGGAACTGTGCGAAGCGCCAGTGCTAGGCATGCCTACAGAAAAGGGCATGTATGTTCTTGACACAGACGCATCGGTAGTGGCCATCTCAGGAATATTGCATCAAGAGCAAGAATGGAACGGAAGAACAGTTCTCCGTCCCATTGCATACGGCAGCAAGGTCTTGAGTGACACAGAGATGAAATATGGCGCACCAAAAGCAGAAATGTTTGCAGTAGTCACCTTCGTGGAAAAGTACCGTGCATACTTGGGGAGCGCTTCCTTCAAGTTACGCGTGGACAACGGAGCGTTATCCTGGTTGAAGACCTACTCGATGGATCAGAGATGAGGGGATGAGCGAGCGAAAGCCTTATTCTTGCTAGCACTGCTGGATATGCAGCAGAGTAAACCGATGAGGGTGAACATGAAAGAACCCGAGGAATTAGAACCCATGAGAAAGATAGACGAAATCAGGAGATTCTCAAACAAGGAGCTGAGACTCGCTAAAGAATCTATGGGGGCACTGCCGAAATCCAGTGAATACTGTGGACCGATCAAGAAGAAATCGTATAGCTACGTATCCGGGATCATAGGGATAGCGTACAACCCTTTCCTGAGTGAAGACATACGCGATTGCTTCTTCGATTACAAGCAGGCGGTGTTGCTAAGATTCTGGACGTCCAGAATAGTAACGATTAAAAGCGTTAACAATCCACAGGCCAAATTGGGACTGGTCTTGGAAGAAGAGGTGACTGCACCTTCAGTACCAAAATCTGATAAAAGAGTGGAGTTTGGGTTGGGGTTCTCAGATGAGTTACTGAGAACGAGCTTGATGGCAGTGTGGGAATTGATGAGGCCATCATGGTGTCCTAGTCCCAACGCTGACTCAATATTGCGAGCGACACAAGACGTGCAGAGGGAACTGAATGCAGATTGTAACCTGCGTGACCTCATCATCATATATAATGTGATGATAACGGCCTCTAGGAGCAACGGAGAAGATAAAGTGGAGTTGCCTGGCTGGGGACCAGAAGACTGGGTCAAACCTGGTAGCTGTCTGGCGGAAGTCTGTGGACTGGAAGGTCACGTTTGTGGAGGTCTGGACTGTGTGAAGACCCTAGAGAAACAACACAAGCAATTGACGGTATTGTTTGGAAACGTAGTGATGAAAGCAAGAACAGAAACGGAACTGATAGCAGATTGCCATGGAGGGACCAAGGTGAATCTAGTGACTGCACTAGGGTTCTACAGCATGTTTGGTCCTCTAGAGTCACTATTGAATCTAGAACAGAAACGTGAGATGGTCACAGCCATCAGTGTAGAAGTATTCCAAGGAGTTCTGCAGACTGAGCAGAAATACATAGGAAAATGGAGGGAAGCGATCGAGACGGAAATGAACATCAGACACAGTGAGACTTATTGTAGGCCATCAGGAGCACGATATTTGGTGGGTTCGACATTGGCTCCAATGTGCAACAGCAGATACACGGTACATTTCGTAGCCGTGGATGTAAAGAGTACGAGAACGAGTGCCGAAGTGTGTGAGACTGGCGAGGATGTCCGAGAAATCTTACGAGTTGCTATGTAAGATGTTCTCAGCAGTTCCAGAGAGAACCAAGGAAGAGTTGGTGTCAATACTAGGAAAGAAGTTCATGGGATATGTGAGCGGGAACTTCAGTGACTTTGAGAGACAGAAACAGAGAGGATCAACTGTCACAGATTACAATGCAGTAGATGAGAATGATGAAGTCCACCGAGTGATGATGGAAGTGGAACCATTACTGGAAGCTTCGGGAAAACGTAATTGGAGGAGCATCATGTTGACACATGACGAGTTTCCCTGCCACTGCTTGCTGCAGACTTGGTGGTATCCCAAGCGTAGTAATCTGATGTTGATCTGGAACTCTGGAGAGCTGCTCTCCATGGGTTTACCAGATTCATCACAGCCCATAACAATGGTGATATTGGGAGTTATGATGGCGATACGATGGCTGGAGGCTCATGTGAGAGAAAATAATAGACAGGAGGCACCGACGAGAGAACAGTTGCGGAAATTAGATTGTCTAAAAGATTTAGATCTTTTTGAGACAATGTGCAAAATTCTAAACATTCCGATGGAAGTGAAGAAGATATGGGCAAGGAAACGATTCATGCCATGGTTCAGAGCTAACATGACTGCATGGTTGTACGAATATGCGAAAAAGCATATGTCGAAGCACGGCAGGGTGTACAGTGAATATCAGCTGGACATTGGAGCAGGAGCTTTCAAGCGAGCTCTCGTGACTCATCGGAATGCAGTGACCACCGCTGTGAAAAGAATTTCCAGGACGAGTGAACGTAGTGGAAAGGAGAAGGCAGAGATGTTAAAGGAAGATTTGGAGAGAAACGTAACGTTGTGTCTCCACAACAGCTTCTGCAGGAACAAAGAATCTAACGTGGATCCCCTACCTTGTTGCAAACAGAGGGTAGAAGAGCAGAAGTGTTGGAGGACGGCTTCCAGCAGCGTCAGGATAGCTAACGACTTGTTGCAGGATACGGAAACTGAGAGTGCAGAGTCAGTATCACAGGAGGAAGAAATGGAACATTGACGAATGACCGAAAAACAAGATGCAAAAAGAGACGAAATCAGAAGAGTTTAGAAGTTTTAGAACTTCTAAACGACAAAAAAAGAAGAAAACAAAGGAGTCATGAAGAGAAAGTTAAAACTAAGAATTGTTTTATGTGTGTGAAAAAACTCAAGTGAGAAACCAAGCAACCAAGTTGTAATTGAAAACTGGAACATTTAGTTGAGTTTTGAAATTGTGCATTTCTAAATTTGCATTTTGATTTTAGTTGAGTGGCTTTAGAGACGCTCACTTACTATTTATTTAGAAAGGCTTGAGTGAAGGAGTATATTTAAATATTCCAGCCTACACGACTGTTTTTAATCAGCTAGGAGAACTGATCATTTTGTGGTGACATGGAAGGCTTGGGTAATCTCTCGAAGAGGGAGATTGTTTCATTGTTCTTTCTTACCACAGAGTTTCTTAGTTTTAATATTCAGGACAATAACAAGCAAGATTTCCGAAGGGAAGAAGCATAGTAGGATAATTTTAGCTTGTTGGTTGGCAGGACTGTCCTGCAAACCAACACCTTTTAAATCTAAGAGAAAAAGTTTTGATCGGGACATTGACATTGGAAGTCAGAAAATATGTTTTATCTTAGATCATTTCCTCAATGTGCAGATTAATGAAAGATTTTGAAGGCTATAGTGATGTGGTATGATGCCATTTATATTCTGCAGTGAGTCGATGTGACGTGGATAAAAGTTATTTCGTGCATTTTGTAAATTCTGTTTGATGACACTGTACCTAATTTACGAACATTGCGTGATTCAATGAGGACATTGACCGGACTGTCCGGGGAGTATGTGACATTCGACCAGAATGGACAAAATGCAATCTCTGCAGTTTAGGAATTTTTAGCAGCGGACCTTCCGAGTTAGTGATTTTGAAGGATTAACGACGTTATTCGGATGATTAGTAGAACGGTGAAGGTCAAGATATTCTGGTATTTTGAAATTTTAAATTTTCGAAGTGATGATGTAACTTTTCTGAGAAACGTCAGAAACGGCCATTTTGGCGGAAGAGCTAAAAAGAAACAGAACAACATTAGTAGCGATTGCGAGAAGAACGGAAATAGTGATTAAGAAACGACAACGAATCACGGAGTTGACAGAGAGCGTTCCGAGTTGCAACTCTTGTGTCGCTACAATAGTTGCAAGGCCGTTGCGAACAACGGTGAAGGGTGGAAGACATCCTTCCGGGTTACGGAGGAATAAAGTTTAACGTGCTTGATTCAGTGGATTCAAGAATCCGGAAGGGTTTCGGGACTGAAACTTTTATCCTTTTATATAAATTTTTAGCTTCCTGTCATGTCCTGAATTGAATTTAATTAACAACTGGATTCATTTTGATAAGGATGAGAAGCTAGGAGTTGGGGGAAAGGGTTGATCCATCTTCGATGGAGATGATGATTTTTATCTACTGAACAAAAACAATAATAATTCAATAAGTAGTAGTAGCCTTGTTTTTAGGAGTGACCTCGTGGTCTGGGGATACTGAGACACAGCCATGAGCTCACTATTTCTGCATGTAATTAAGTTAATTTGAGTGTTTTGACCGAAGCCGAAAGCAGTAACGTTTTTTGTCGACCCGATGTTAGAAAGACCACCGAAAGTACTGGCTTGGTAGAGACGGTGAGAAGCATGCAAGGCTCTGTTTAGACGTTAGCCAGTCATCTTAGGACTTAGTTTTGTTTTCCGTCGATATGTATCTTCCGGGCGAATCTTACACAAGTTATCCATGTAGTTGGTGTTTTTCTAGATTTTACCCGATGATTTCAGCTCAAAATAACATTTTATGTCCCCATTGATAGATTTATTGTCCAGTTATCCTGGTTGACTCTATCAAACGTGATTTTAACGTGTTTTAACATTTTCTTTGATTTTCAATGTTTTCCTGACATGCTCGGCAAATTTAAAAACTTTTTTTTCTGAAGATCAAATTTTCTTCCTGACTCTTGTTGTTTTCTCTGTCGCCACTGTAGGATCAGCAAAACAAGTGCTTTCTCGGAATAGAACAAGGATGGAGTGTGAATTAATTTGAAAACTCGATTTATCTAAGAATGCTTTAATGTTTATACCTAAAATTGATCTCGCAGACTTATGAGATGATTACAGGAATTTATTATTGAAAAGGGGTATCAAGGAAGGATTCATTTACCAACTGATTGCTCTAAATGTGCATTTATTGCGATGATTTTCTCCAGATTACGGATTTTTGCACTTCTTGTCGGCTTCATCTGATAACATATAATATACAAAAACAGGAAATACTTTTGTTTTATTTGTAATTCTGTCATTCAATATCACATCGAACCAAGCGATCTCGAATAGTATAGAACAATATATGCGTGTGGAAACTCTTTTGTAGTTGTGGCAACTGCAATATCCTGGTTGTGATAAACTTATTAAATAGATTTGATATGGAACGCAACAAGTGTCTTGCAAGTGCAAGTAATTCAATGTGCGGGTCCTGCAGCAGAAAAATCAAGGACAAAGAGGAACAAGCAATCCAATGCGACAAATGCGACAATTGGCTACACCAAAAATGTACTGATGTCCCGCTGGAGGCCCTCAACCTATTCGATGTTATGAAAGGAATCAAATGGTTTTGTGACCATTGTCTTAACTCCGTAAAACAACTGATGGCCAGAAACGAGTCCATGGATGAGGCCGTTGGAATCATTAAGGCAACCATATCAGAACTGAAGGAGGATCTCAATATAGCTAAGTATAATTCTACGTCACTAATAACTTCCAACCCAACCCCGCCAGCACCCAACGAAAATAATTTAGAAATTAGAGTAAATGGAATAAAGGAATATACACGGAAGAAAGACGCAAATGGCAAAGATATAATTGCAACTCAAGACGAAATTTTGTCTCATGATTCGTATGAAATTGAAAAAGTGCTTAACCACCTAGGGGAAGAAACAAACTGTATCGCCGACTTAAAACGTCTAGCAAAATTTGACAAAGACAAACAACGCCCTCGTACTATTTTACTGCGACTGAACAATACCTGGACTGCGAGAAAACTTCTAGCGAAAGCAAAGCAGCTGAAAACCTTCGAGGGAGCAACAAAAGTGTTTATATCTAAAAGTTTGAACAAAGAGGAACAAGAAAATAAATTATTGATGAAAAGAAGAGAATTGATTAACGACGGAACAACCACAAAAGATATACGCATAATAAGACTGAAATTATATGTCAATGGACACGAAACCAAAATTAATTGACTATCAAGTACTACGGAAGATTTAGATGTATTATGTTTCAATATCAGAAGTATATACCTTCTTCAGCGTAGAGTGGAGCTTTCATCAGTTCTTGCCTCGCAGAACTACAACATTATTCTAATATCAGAAACTTGGCTAACCGATGAACAAGAAGATAGCGAAATTTTTCTGCCGTCTTATCAACTATTTAGGTCTGATAGAAAAGCTCCTAAAGGTAAGACAAAGCACGGAGGCGTTATGATTGGAATTATGCACTCATTTCATTGTCAAAAAATATCACTACCTGAAGAAAGCCAAGGTGCTGCTGTAGGGTGCATAGTAAATTTTCAGAACAGAAAAATACTAATTGTTAGCTTCTACAATCCACCGCAAACCAGCCACTATCACCTTAACGATGAAATGATCAAATTAATTTTTAAAGAAATTGAAACATTGATGTCACAGGTTGATGCAACAATAATCTACGGCGATTTCAACTTGGATATCGACTGGAACATCAGAAGTAGCGAAAATTGCGAATCTCAGAGTGTGACATTCGACCAGAATGGCCAAAATGCAATTTATGCAGACTTCGAATTTTTAGCAGTAGGCCTTCCGAGTTGATGATTTCGAAGGATTAACGACGTTATTCAGATGATTGGCAGAACGGTGAAGGTCAGGATATTCCCATATTTTAAAATTTTAAATTTTCGAAGTGATGACGTAATATTTCTGAGAACCGTCAGAAGCGGCCATTTTAGAAAAAGAACTAAGAAAAACAGAACAACTTTATCTGTGATTGCAAACAGAACGAAAATCGAGATTAAAGAAAAACGACAACGAACTACAATAGCAGAGAACGTTCCAAGTTGCAACTATTGTGCTGCTACAATAGTTGCAAGGCCGTTGCCAACAACGGTGAAGGGTGAGAACCAGCCTTCCGGATTGGCGTGAAATTGAACTTGAGGAGCTTGATTCACAGGATTTAAGAATCCGGAAGGGTTTCGGGACTGGAACTTTTAGCCTTTTATATAAACTTTTAGCTTATTGTCATGTCCTGAATTGAATTTAATTAACAACTGGATTCATTTTGATAAGGATGAGAAGCTAGGAGTGGGGAAAGGGTTGATCCATCTTCGATGGAGATGATGGTTTTTATCTACTGAACAAAAACAATAGTAATATAATAAGTAGTAGCCCTGTTTTTAGGAGTGACCTCGTGGTCTGGGGATACTGAGACCCAGCCATGAGCTCACTAATTTTGCATGTAATTCAGTTAATTTGAGCGTTCTGGTCGAAGCCGGAGAACAGTAACGTTTTTGTCGACCTGATGTAAGAAAGACCACCGAAAAGTACTGGCTTGGTAGAGACGGTGAAAAACATGCAAAGCTCTGTTTAGACGCTAGCCAGTCGTGTTAAGACTTAGTTTTGTTATCCGTCGATATGTATCTTCCGGGCATATCGACCGGGCGTATCTTCCGGGCGTATCTTCCGGCCATATTCCTCGGGAATTGTACGCGCTTGTACACGTGATATTCTCTGATACGAACATACAAGTATATCTACATAAGAAATATTATTTAAGTATAGGCTGAGTGATGTGCGAAAGAGTGTTAGGCCAAAGACCAAGTTGCAGGTAATATGTGATATGTGTGTTATGTTATGTTATGTTATGTATTAGGTTATTAAGATCATGGGTAAGTAAGCGTTAGTGACCATGAACAACTAAATGACGATCTTGGGAATAGATCCAAAGTTTGGACTGTCCAATCTTAGGTCGAATTCCAAAATTTTAGAAACCAATTGATTTTAATAAATTTTAATTAAATATCTTTTTATCTGAACTGTTTTAAGCAAATTTTAACGATATATGTTAAGGTGAAACTGACAAGTGTGACAGTCGTGATTCCTTTTCTAGATCCTGATTGATCATTTAATTGCTCACTTGAGTCAAAACTTGAAATCGAAATCAAATCAAACTTGGAAAGAACAGTATGGACAATTTCAACCTGGATGAATTGATGGACCTGGCAGAGGCATATGTGGGACCGATGGTAGATGCGATCTATCGTCGGCTGATCGAACGAGACTTCGCTCTGGAGGACCCAGAGGTGGTCATGTTGCTGACCGCCCTGATCAACATCTTGGGGCACGACAACCGTGGGGACCGCCCCACGGAAGTCCTGTTGATGGCAGCATATGGAGAAAGAGGAGTACTAGACCGCCCGAACATGAGAGTGATGAGGTGGAGAAACGGGGCTCTCTCAGGGAGTGACTTGGCGAATGAGCCTGGGTTGGGAAGTTCTAGGACTTACCAACCAGGTGAGATGCCAATGCCCTCCAAGCCCAAACCTGGGCTGACGAGAATGCATCGGGAGATGAACAGCGAGGCGACCTCGTCTGGTTCACCACTGAGAGCAGCTGTGCCACCAAAAAGGGCGAAAGTAACACAGAAGGTTCAGACGAACCAAACCATACAAGATCTGGACGAGATGAACGATCAACTGAGGAGTACGAAGAAGGAGTTAGACGATATGACGAAGACCATGCTGGCGATGGAGGAAGACCGGGACATGTGGAGAAAGTTGTTTGAAGACTGCAACAAAAAACAGGGTCAAGAGATCGAACGCTTAAGGCAGGAATACAAAGAGCGATCGGAACAGGCGGCGTTGACGACGTCCATTGAGAAAGTGATACCTGCAAGGGATATTCCTCGTGGGCAGTCCCCGATGGAGCTCTTGACACCTCGAGAAATGAGTCAAACAACGGAGACACGGCTTCCAGCAGAGACGAACCGAGTAACAATCCCGGATCCTAGTGACACCTTGGGTGATCCCGTCGTAGAACAGACAGTGAGAAAACTGATAGAGACAGCTGGACGATTGGTCGCTAACAAGAATGCACCAGGTTCCGGGGTGACTGCACCCTATGGAACGATTGACGATACGGGCAGAGTACAACTCTCCCAGACAGTAATCAGACAAGGGATGAGTAACGTGACACCACTCATGGGGAACTCGAGAATCCCAGAGAGGAAAGTAAGGAAGATGCCAGCGAAGAAAGTGTCTCGTGTAATAGACGTGCAGAAGAATAATCAATTGAAGTATAATTTCACGGGAGTTCCGGAGACAGATCCGAGAGCCTGCTTCAATCGAGCTACCTGGAGCCCGGCTGTGAACCTGCAGCAACCACCACTCGGGACATCTCACCTGATATTGGGAGACAGCTTAGTCAGAGTGCTGTCGAATTTGAGGACCTCATGGGTCACCACGGTGATGGCCTTTGGAGGCGCGACGATTGCCCAATTATATCGCATGGTGGAGCTGATGAATCCAGGGAAGATACCCAATGTGATGATCTTAGTTGGGACGAATGATATCTCCAGAGGATCAGATGAGCAGGAAGCACTGTGGGAATCAATGATGGTGTGTTTGTTTACTACTCTCTGGCAGAAGTTCAGTTGCGCGGTACTGACCGTTTGCACGGTGCCAATGAACGCAAGAAGCCTGACAGCATCAGGAAGAAGGCACAACGAGGGAGTCATGAGATGGAACAACATCTTGAGAAACCTAGCAAATCGAAATGCCGGAAGAATGATCCTCATGGACATTGAACATGAATTGAGAGCCATGGATCAAGCCAGACTGACCACAGATGGCATCCACTTCGACAGTGTCGAAGGACAAGCTTGGTTGAATCGAGTCTTCCAAGAACGGTTGGATGAGCTGGAAGCAGAACTCTTTGACACAGGAGTGCTGAAGGAAGAGGGAACGGTGAGTGATACGGTGATCACCACCTTTGTGCCTCCTAACCTGGAAACACGCTTGGGTACGGTCCCAGCCGTCACAAATTACCGGCAACAAAGCTCCGGTGAACCAGGTCGAAGAACAGACGTACAAGATCGGTTGGGAGAAGCACCGATGAGGAGGACAATTCATCCTAGGAAAAGGATAGGACCTGTCAACCAACCAATCGAGGAAGTAGCAGGCACATCCAGATCGGACACTAGATCGGAGACGACGAGTACCAGTCGAGAGGAGAGACCGAGCAGAGGCTCATTGATGTGGTCGCGATCCATACCGTCTCCTTGGCATATATACAAAGACGAACTAATGAAGCTGGACCTACAGAGAGTGAGCTTCATCGAAGATGCAAGGAGGATGCTGAATGGAGCGACGCTATCCGTCAGCAGATTGTA